CCTAAGATACAGGGTGTTGGGGGGTTCATACGTAAAAAAAGACGGTTTTCTCAGAGGAAGCAGCAGCCAAGTCTTCTTACTCTGTCAGGGAGTAGTGCCTGCAATCCCGAGGAAGAGAGGAGGACTGTAAGCAAGTTCAGCAGCAGCTTTGCAGAGAGAGAACTAACTACACAAGGTAGGCACTGGGCAAGGGGCAGCCCGTACTGGGATCGCTATTCATTAAATGCTCATGGATGTGGGGGTGTGGGGCAGAGCACCCCTCACCCCACCACCGCTGACCCTACCTCGACCCCCACCCGCACCATGGGATGAACAGACAAAGGCCAAGGATACTGACCTTCCTCTCTAGGAAGGCAGTCAAGGAAAGACACCTTTATGGGGGGATTTTGCTGTGGCAGGCACTCTGCTGCCTGCTTCAGGGGTGTTTTCTCATTGACCCCCCTCATCTTCCATCTTAATTCCATCAGCTGCCCCCATCCCAACTCCCAGCCCTGCCTCCAGCCCCTTCCTGAGGCTCATTCTGAGCACTGCAGCCTGCTGGTCCCCTTGCCTGCTGTCAGCCCTGGGAAGTGTGCCTGTGGCAGGGAGCAGATGCCCCAGTCTGCTGGCACTCATCATGCGGGTTTTCGTTTTCTCTTCATGCGGATTATATACTCGAGGACAAGGATTAGGTCTCTTTTTTGCCAGTCGAAGCACACAACTTTATTGATGGTACACACAGATGTGGACTGGGGTGGAAGAGGTGAAGTCAGTACAACAGATAGAATGGGAGTGCCCTTTTTTTGATGAATAGGTTCCCCATCCCTCAGCTCGTGTAGAAGAGAGTAGATGAAAAATAAGTCAACCTAAGCTGTAACAAATGCATTTTCAGCCCAAGCTCTGACGTGGTCCTGCTCAGAGAGGGAGACTACCCCCACCACAGGTAACATAAGATTTGGTGTTCTTTATTCACAGCAGGCAGCCAGAGTGATCCCTTTACCACATGAAGGAGGCTTTCAGGGAGTAATTTACATTGCACTTTGCCTGCAGACTGCAAAACCAAGGAATTACTCAAAGCTCTGTGGGAGCCCCTGCCTGGCCAATAGAAAGGAGTGTGGTCCTCCATTTAGCACTGGCACTTTCACCCAGTGATGTGGTGATCGCTAAGGGTGGATCTTCCCTAGCACTCTCCGCAGATTCTTTGACATCTGCAGGCCAAGTGGGTTCGGAGCCGATTCAGTCTCATTGTGTTCCAGATGGCCATTTACAGGGCAAGGGTTTCCACGGGCATCTCTCTGTTTCCATTTCTGATAAAGAGGGTCACAGATGACAATAGCATCTGGGCACTGAGCAATTCCCCTGCCAAGACTGGCTTTTCAGACAAACCCATCAGTGGTTTTAAAAGCTGAACCTTAGCACATCCACTTTCCTCTGATATCAAAGGAAACTTCAAGTCTGAAACGGACTTGGCAAGCATGTTATTAATAACTGTCATGCTTATTAACAAATTTAATCCTGCCTGCTGCAGAAATGAGTTGCAGCAACATAACACAGTCTCCCAACACACTTCAATGAGGTACATCTTAATCTGGCCCTGCTTTTCAGTACTCGCATTCAAGTTATCTGGGGCACACAAAGCCTCTCCAACAGTGGGGTCAGGAGTGGGGATCGTGTTTCCAACCATTGAGAGGCTGGCCGAAGGACTATTGATATTGTGGCCAAATGAAAAACCTGCATCCTTGGGCTCATGATACGCTTTTCCCTGAATGAAAAGACACTTGAAGAGGTTAAAACTCCAACTAACATTACTTCATCATTCCCCTAAAATGTCATCATTTTCACTGGGGAAAAGGCAATTACTTTTGAGGGTGGTGGTGTCCTTTTTGGGAGGTCTTCGTTCTTACTCCCTATGGTTCATGTCAGTCTTATTCCCATGACTCTGCTTTTCCTGGACCATGGACTGAAGACCAGAGCCCTTACCTTTCCCCACCCCTGTCAGTAGCTCCTCACCTCTTCCAGTCTTTTCTTCCTTTGTTGCACCTTCTTCTGAATAATAGATCCCATCCATAGACGTGTTTTCACTAAGTCATTCATTCGAGGACATCCTATACATATTATAAGTCATAGATGGGTCTCACTCTTAAAAAAGGAAAAGTCATCTGGTTGTAGTGTTCTAAGAAGATTGTTAGGCATTCTTTTCCTGGACACAAGCTTTCTAACTGACATTCAACGTGGACCTAGGGGCAACGTAGACAGCTTTGAAACAAGTCTCCTCAGAGAGTCACATCGACACACAGGGTACAAGAATATCTGTATCTCCCTTTCCTGATTTAGGGTTGTAATTTTCAGATGTTTCTCCTATGAGCATGTACCTCTCTCTATCTCATTTCCAGCACTTACCTTTTTCCTGTACCAAAATAAAAGGGGGGCAAGAAAAAAGACTGGGAGAGGGACAAACCGAGTTTCCTCTGATCTCTGTGTTCTGACTCTGACATCTCATTCCCACCCTTTATCTCCAGAATATCACACTCTGCGGAGCATATGCCTCCCTTTCTTGCCCAAATTATTTTCTAAAGGTAGACAGACAAGAACTAATAGAGACTGGTAGATGCACTGACATAAAAGTCTGGAGTGCACCCTCTCCAGAGTGAAGAAGCTTTCAGAAGTACCCATCACATTCTGCCCTCCCACCGCTTTATCACCCACCCTTCTCCCACAAGTGTCCACTTTTCTGCTTTACTCCACTTCACCCCTACCCTTTCTTCCCGATAGATATTGACAGTGCTTTCCCAGAGCCAAAAACGACTGGGATTAGGGTTTTCTGAAAACAGGACAAGAATGAAGAGCATCTTCTGGTTTAACACTTGCCTCTGCCGCCCCCTTGTGACCAGTTCTGGACTCATTTTTCCTTGAAGAAATGCAGGCTTGCTTCAGTCTCTAACAAGTAATCGCGTCATGCGCTTCCTCTTTCTTTCTTTTGGGTTATGCTGCCCCCTACAGACAGACAAACAAACTACTATCTATCGGTTAGCGTCTGTGAATATTTAGCGCTGGATTTTAGACCACAGTTCCCGCAATTTACTGATTCAGGACTTTCAAACATTTCTCATTTATCACTCCCAGGTCTTCAGCATCAGTTCTGCCCAGCCCCATGCACCATTGGAGAACTAAAAGGAGTTGCTTGGTGGGGTGGGGGTGTAAAAGAATCTGACTCTGCCCCAACTATGACCCTAAGACTTCTCAGGCAAGCCTTATTCTCACACCAACCTGCACATAATCAGAGCTATTTCTTTCTTTCTTCTTCACTCAGCTAGAATTACGTCTCTGTGAGGTCAACAGGGAGCTGATGGCTAGATCAAAAACTTCACTTCTTCACAGATCTTGGTCACCTGGGATACATGTCACAAATGAGCCATGGTTACCAATTTCCCCTCCCACCAGCAGCGAAGCAATAATGTACCCACCTTTCTCTCTTCCCCCCTAGCAAACTAGAACTGTCGGGTTTTTCTTTAACAATCCTAGAGGCCAAAATAAAGTGCATTTCCATTTTGTTAGAATTTGCCTTTCTCTGATTTCCAGAGAGAAGACTTTCCTGATCCTTTCATATTTTCTCCTGGAGCAATTGTCTGTTTCTATTTCTACTTCTTTATCTTCTAGAATACAGGGAAATGGCTCATCTCTTTACTTCTTCTCTTCTCAGTAACTCATTCCCCCTTGGACCTGTGAAAAGGCATATTTCATAAAGTAAGCCAGAGAGGGATAGAGATATTTTAATTATTCACTTCTTGCTTTTGCTCATTTTTCTTAGAAAAACGCACTTTCTACAAATAAATTTATATCTTTATATATATAGGGAGTTTTCTGGAATGATGCTTGCTGGAATTTACCACTGGTTATATCTGAGATTAGGATTTAAGGCAAAACACATTTTAGCTGCAACATCAAATGTTAAAGTCAATGGGACATGGAAGTGAACAGAACTGCTTCTTAGAAATGAAAACCACCTATGGTACAGCGCCCATAGTTCAGTGGGTAGGGCATCGCCCACATATGCCCAGGCTGGCGGGTTCGAACCTGGCCTAGGCCAGCTAAACAACAATGACAACTGCAATAAAAAATAGCCAAGCACGGGCAGCGCCTGTGGCTCAGAGGAGTAGGGCGCTGGCCCCAAATGCTGGAGGTAGCAGGTTCAAACCCAGCCCCGGCCAAAAACTGCAAAAAAGTAATAAATAGCCAGGCATTGAGTCAGGTGCCTGTAGTCCCACCTACTTGGAGCCTGAGGCAAGAGAATCTCTTAAGGCCCAAGGGTCCTCAAACTTTTTAAACAAGAGGCCAGTTCACTGTCCCTTAGACCATTGGAGGGCCGGACTGCGGGCCCTGGGACAAGTCGGCTGCTAAGCAGGACAAGCAGCGGTGGCAAAAACACCCGGCGGGCCAGATAAATGTCCTAGGCAGGCTGCATGTAGCTCTCAGGCAGTAGTTTGAGGATGCCTGGAAGCCCAAGAGTTTGAGGTTGCTGTAAGCTGTGACAGTACAGTACTCTACCGAGGGCTACATAGTGAGACTCTGACTCAAAAAAATAAAAAAGAAAAAAAACAGATGACAAAATAAAAATTTCACCTAAGAAATGAAATGTAGGGAGAAAAATCAAATGGAAGTCTTTTTTTTTTTTTTTTTTTTTGAGACAGTCTCAAGCTGTTGCTGTGGGTAGAGTGCCGTGGCATCCACAGCTCACAGGAACCTCAAACTCTTGGACTTAAGTGATTTTCTTTTTTAAGACAGCCTCAAGCTGTCACCCTGGGTAGAGTGCTGTGGCATCACAGTTCACAGCAACCTCCAACTCCTGGGCTCAAGGGATTCTCCTGCCTCTGCCTCCCAAGTAGCTGGGACTACAGGCACCCATCACAATGCCTGGCTATTTTTTGGTTGCAGCCATCATTGCTTTTTGGCGGGCCCAGGCTGGATTCAAATCAGCCACCTCAGGTGTATGTGGCTGGTGCCTTAGCCACTTGAGCCACAGACGCCGAGCCTAAGCGATTTTCTTGCCTCAACCTCCCAAGTAGCTGGGACTACAGGTGCCTGCCACAACTCCCGGCTATTTTGTTGTTGTTGCTGTTGTCATTTTTGTTTTAGCAGACCCAGCCCAGTTCGAACCCGCCAGACTTGGTGTATGTGGCCAGCACCCTACTGTTTGAGATATAGGCGCTGCCCAAATGGAAAGTCTTAAAATTAAGAAATATAATAGTGACGTTCAGCCTTAGCTCCGACATATAAAGAGCTTGGAAACCGTCGCTAATCTTCTCATAACAAGGAAAAATGCTGAACAAATAGAAAACCAACTTTTCTGAGGTGCAACATAAAATTTAGGCCACAGAGTAAACCAACACCTTGAAATCTAGACATACAAGTAGAATCAGCCAAGGCCAGTTTGCCTGAAGCAGAAGGATCTGGAGCCAATTACTGGTAGGAATGCTTAAACAATAATTTTTTTTTTTTTTTTGAGACAGAGTATCACTTTGTCGCCCTCAGTAGAGTGCTGTAGCATCACAGTTGACAGCAACCTCAAACTCTTGGGCTTAAGTGATTCTCTTGCCTCAGCCTCCCAAGCAGCTGGGACTACAGGCGCCCGCCACAACGCCTGGCTATTTTCTTGTCGCAGTTGTCATTGTTGTTTAGCTGGCCCCGGCGGGGCTCGAAGACGCCAGCCTCAGTGAATGTAGCTGGCGCCATAACCACTTTGCTACGGGTGCCCAGCCAGGTTCTTATATTAAAGATCAGAGGGGGGGGGGCGGGGAGGCGCCTGTGGCTCAAAGGAGTAGGGCGCCGGCCACATTTACCAGAGGTGGTGGCGGGTTCGAACGCGGCCCGGCCAAAAACTGCAAAAAAAAAAAAAAAAAAAAGTTAGAGGCGGGGCTACGGACCGCTACGCAGCGTATGACGTCATAATGTAGAGCCTAGCAACACAGCGCAGACTCCAGGTCGAGTCTATTGGGGTCGCTGTCGCCCTCAGAAGGACTAGGAGCGCGGCTGGAGGGAAAGCGCTGCCCGAATCGGGCATCCACGTTCTCATGGGGCTGGTACAGCTGCTCCTCCTGAAGCTCCTGCTCACGTCCGTCGCTATTTCCAGTGGCTTATCGCTTAAACCAAACCAAACTCGATTCAATTCAAACGATTCTGTCCCAAACCTGAGTGCTGAAATACAAGAAAATCGTCTCACGCTCCCTCCCACGACCGCTTCGGAGAAAAGTGAAAGAGCACCCGTGAGCCCTCCTCCCTCACTGCCTGGTCTGTTTCTAGACGGAGCTTTTGACAATGTATATGCTGGCGTACAGGAAGATCTCACACTCAACGGTTCTAAGTCCGCCTCCAGAGACATGTTAGGCAATAGAGATTATGAAATAACGGGCGATGACTTGACCACCAGCCCCAAAGATGACACCGTGGTAGAAAACGAGGGTTCCATGAAAATTGGAGAGTCGGTGAAAGCTTTGAAGAGCCTATCTCTAAAGATAGGCGAGAAAAATAGCCATTTCCTTGTTTATGTGATTATTTTCGCTTTTTGCGCTGCTGTCATTTGTGTTGTGTACTACAACAGAAGGAAAATTTTCCTTATGATGCAAAGCAGGAGGAAATGGCACAATACCCTTTGTCCCCAAACAGTGGACTATCATCGTCTAGAACAGAATGTTAATGATGCAATGCCTTCTTTGAATGTTACCAATGATTACATTTTTTAAAACACTGTGATTTGAGTTTGCTTATTATGTAATTTTATTTGTTTGACTTTCTATCTGATATTGTGTAGATGTTTGCCATAAGCAATTGGTATTTAAATGAGAGGTTGGTCTCCCTTTTCCCTTGGTGCCTTGGAAATTCAGTGTCACAAACAAGGAGTATATAATTTTTTATTTATACTTTTAGAGCTGTATTTAATCAGGTATCCAAAATAATGAGTTAAACATGAGCTTATAATTACACTATTAGTTTTTATTGTTTTAGTTTATTATACTTCTTGTGGAATTTAGTGATGCTATTTTAAAAGATCCCAAACTTGTAACTAAATTCGAACATATCTGGTTACTGCTGACTGAGATTCACTCTCTGCCATACAAATACTATTTTTTAAGTGCACATTTCTCTGTGTTCCCAAACTGTAATGTACAAGGAAATGTGTTGATAATGCTTTTCATTTCACATTTTTTTCTTCTAAGGAAACTGCTTTGGATATTTTTAGATAATTTTAACATAATTTAAGATAATGATAATGCTCAATCTGACCACAATTTTAGGTAATTCATTAAATAAGTCTAGAAATTTTGGCAATAGAGATTGCAGTTTGCTTTGGACATAGATAAAATGTTATTGAGATGCCATTTTGGGGGTTGAATTGCTAAATTAAATATAGAGGTAGAAACAGTGGTAAAATATTAAATACATGTATAGTTACCTTTAGTTAGCAATTGATTGTACCTTGGGTTCCTCCAGGTTTCAGGCAATGGGCAGAGTTTAAAATTTGCATCACATTTGTTCACTTTCATATTTTATACTAAGTTTGAATAAATCTTAGTGGACACTATTGAGACAGGATACCTGGAAAAATTGAGGTGTAAGAAACAGACGTCTTCTCAAGGAGACACCCATGATACACCTGCCAAGGTCCTCCACATGGTGACTCAGCTCTTTTTTTTTTTTTTTTTTTTTGGAGACAGAGCCTCAAGCTGTCCCCCTGGGTAGAGTGCTGTGGCATCACAGCTCACAGCAACCTCCAACTCCTGGACTCAAGCAAGTCTCCTGTCTCAGCCTCCCAAGTAACTGGGACCACAGGCGCCCACCACAACACCTGACTATTTTTTGGTTGCAGCCGTCACTGTTGCTTGGCGGGCCCGGGCTGGATTCAAACCCGCCACCTTAGGTGTATGTGGCTGGCACCTTAGCCATTTGAGCCACAGGTGCTGAGCCGTCACTCAGCTCTTAGGAATTTGTAGAAACTTTCCTGGGACCTGGAAACTAATGCTTGCTTCTGCTTCTTTACAGCCCTGCGGTTCTAAGCCAGAGCCAGCTTCTCTAGCTTGATTCAAACTGACCAATGAGAAAGGTACTCATTGGCCAGAACTTTCTGACTGGAGATAAAAAGGAGAAGACTAAGCCAATTATGGAGCATAGCCATTTTAGACTCATATCTGCCTATGCTCCACTAGCTGGAATAAAGCCCTTCCTATTTTAAACAAGGTGTTTGGGTATTCTTTCTCTCCATTGGGCCTGGTCTTCCTGCCATGTTTCTGATTCCCTGACCAGGAAGCAAGACCGTCCGAGGAGAGAACAGGCTCAGACTTACCTGGACCCAATCTTGACTTTGTCCCTGTCAGTGTAGAGAAGCCAGAAAGCCACAAACATATACAAGGTGGCTGAAGTCATGCAGAAGCCAGATTAGAGCCCTGGGGATTTCTATGAAAGGCTGTGTGAAATATACAGACTGGCCAAACCATTGTATGAAGCCACAAAGGGGTGGGAGAAAAAGGGCCAATAGAGTAGCAATCTGACCAACCAAAAGCCTTCGAGACACTAAAGGAAGAACTGCAGGCAACCCTAGTGTTAGGCCTCCTTGACCTGGCCAAGCCTTTTGAACTGTACATGTCAGAAAGAAATACAACAGCTAGGGGAGTGCCCACCCAGAATTTTGGATCCTGGGTAAGACCAGTTGCTTATTGCTCTAAGCAACTTGAGGGGATCTCAAAAGGATGGCCCCCATGCCTAAGGATACTTGCAGTCACTATCATGCTGGTACAAGAGGCTGATAAGTTGACTTAGGAACAAAACTTAAGAGTCCGGGTACCATGCGCAGTGGTCAGTCTTATGAACATCAAAGGGCACCATTGGTTGACCAACTCATGCCTCATCAAATATCAAAGCTTACTGTGTAAAAATCCGAAGCTGGTTATAGAGGTTGTATCTTCCTTGAACCCTGCTACTTGGCTTCCAGTCGGGATGGGGAACTTGAACACGACTGTGTACGGTTTGTCAAGGCAGTGTACTCCAGCAGGCCAGTCCTGCTTGACCAGCTGCTGAAAGAGCCAGACTTGGAACTCTTTGTAGATAGAAGCAGCTCTGTCAACTTTAGGGGAGAAAGACAAGCTGGCTATGCACTGGTTACTCTGATTGAGGTGATTGAACCAAAGTCCTTACTCCAAGGAACATCCACTCAGAGGGCCGAGCTGATAACATTGACTTGAGCCTTAGAACTGAATGAAGGAAAAAGCATAAACACTTTCACAGACTCGTGTTTTGCTTTCCTTACCCTCCATTTACATGGGGCTATTTATACAGAAAGAGGGCTTCTAACAACAGGGGGAATAGACTTAAAATACCCAGGTGAAATTCTACAGCTACTGGAGGCTGTGTGCAAACTCAAGCAAGTAGCAGTCATCCATTGACAGGTGCATCAAAGAACAGGAACCCCGGAGGCACAGAAGAATGCAAAGACAGACATTGAAATTAAGAAGGCAGTAACCCTCCCATATTAGGCTGCCACTGTTACCTCTTTAATTCCATGGGCCCCAGACTTAACCCCTGTATATTCTGAAGGGGAAAGAGAATGGATGAACTGAGAGGGAGCTAGAGATGCTGGAGAAGGATGGAGGAGGCTTCCAGATGGGAAAGTTGTAGTACCCCATCTCTTGAGGCCAGCAGTTGTCCTTACTATGCATGAAGCTACACACTTAAGACAGGAAAAAAAAATTCAGAAGCTTCTGGGAAGATACTTCTAGATTCCCTCTTGGCCACCCTTGCCAAGAAAGTCAGCCAGCATTGTGTGACATTCAACCAGCACAGTGCTAAACAGGGACCATCCCTGCTGCCTGAAATTCAGTCCTACAGGGAAGCCCCTTTTGAAGCTGTGCAAATGGACTATACTGAGTTCTCCAGATGTGGAGGAAACCGGTACTTACTAGTTTGGTCTACATGTACTTAGGATAGGTAGAATTCTTCATAACAGAAATAGTGTAAATGACAGCCAAAGCTTTGAATATTATCTGGAAACTACATGTAACATATAGGCCATAAAGCTTAGGTAAAGTAGAACACATGAACAGAACAATAAAAGCAGGAATCAGTAAACTTTGCCAGGAAGCAAAGCTTTATTGGATACAGGCCTTGCCACCGGTCTTGCTCAATATTAGATGTACCCCTTCTAAAGGGTCAGGGTACTCCCCTTATGAGATAATGTATAACAGGCCTTCACCAATCCACTGAAATTTACTAGGGACTCCTCAAAGGACTGGGAGAGACTGAATTGCATAAGCAGTTAGAAGCCCTAGGAAGAATAGCAAAGAAGATCTCCACTTGGGTAATTAACTGTGTTCTGTTTAGTCTTTTGTGTCTGTATATCCTTTCTCTCCAGGGGACCAAGTCTGGATCAAGGATTGGAACCCGGTTCCCCTCAAATCAAAGTTGAAGGGGCCTACACCATCACTCTGACTACACTCACAGCAGTGAAGGTGGAAGGGATCCTTGCCTCGATCCATCACAACAAACTGAAAAGAGCTTCACTGGCCCCATGAGAAGCAAAAACAGATCTGGCCAACCCCTGCCAGGTAACTCTTCAGACAGTCAACATGCCCTGTTCCAGCCATACACTGGGAGCTGGCTGAAGCCTGAGTAAATATGCATAGGGGAAAATCTTGAAATATTTGAAATTTTGAAATATGCCCAAAATGTTCCTCATTCAGAGCAACCACTGCATAGCCAGCTTGTCTTTCTCCCCTAGAGTTGACAAAGCTGCTTCTATCTACAATAAGGTAACCAGATTTTAACATTGGTAAAGCGGGACACCATTGACCGTGGAGGGGGAGTCTTAATTAAAAATTTGGTCTATATGGAGCAACAAAAATTTTCATAGAATGCAAAAATAGTATTGTAATATATATTTTTAATTTCAACATAAGTACAATTTACAAATATAATACATTTTTAAAAATTATGTATAATATTATTTTATTATTTGGCATATTTCTCATTTGAGTGAATTTTTTTAGTAGATTGCTGTCATTGTTTAAAAGGTCATGAAATTTTTCACAAGAATTTGTTAAATTATATTTCACACATAAAATGGCTTTCAAAGTCTCAAAACTTAATTGTGATTTTTCTGATGCCCACACTTCATTTACCATAGAAAAAATGTGTTCAGTCGCAGCACTAGTTCCTGGTAAGGACAGCGTGTATCCCACAATTTTTAGTGCATTATTGTATGGAACATGGTTTGTTTCAAAATGATGAAATATTTCTAACCATTTGTTCTCTACTGTGATTTTTGCTGATGCCCAAGATTTAACCTTTTCCTTATCAATATTTTTTTTTGAAACAGAGCCCCAAGCTATCCCCCTGGGTAGGGTGCTGTGGCATCACCACTCACAGCAACCTCCAACTCCTGGGCACAAGTGAGTCTCCTGCCTCACCCTCCCAAGTAGCTGGGACCACAGGTGCCCACAATGGCCAGCTATTTTTTTTTTTCTGGTTGCAGCCATCATTGTTGTTTTGGTGGGCCCAGGCTGGATTCGAACCCACCACCTTAGGTGTATGTGGCTGGCGCCTTAGCCACTTGAGCCACAGGCACTGAGCCTTAATATATTTTTTTAATAATGATACTTCGTAAGTCATTAGTGTCACTTTCAAGGCCAGCGCTAGACTTTTTGCCGCCACTATAAAATATAAATAATACAAGTACTGTCTGCTAAATTCATGAAATAAATAAATAAGTTACTTACCTAAATTATCTGAATAGCTGATTTGTTGACATCACATGTTTAACTAGCACTAACACACAGTACGATGTGTATAGTCTGAGAGACAGTTACAAAATGTTTTCGTGGTTGCCAATGCCAAAAAGTGCCATTGTTCATTAAGTCCAAACAATGGTCGTCAAATTCTAACAACTGATCAACAATGGGAACTTTGATAAGCAGTTCGCAATAATCAGTTCTCGATAATCAGTTCTCAATAATTATTTATTATTAAAGTTTAACATTATAAAATTAACAAAAATAATATAAAACTTATATCCTGGTGAAATAGCCGCATGGCAGCCGAAAACCATATATTCCCTTCCCGTTCTCCCCTCCCCCACCCCCATTCCCTAGCTTGTCATGCATTCTTTCCAAAAATCAGGACTTTTTAAAAAAGCCACGGGAGGCAGGACAAATTATTAAAAATTGGGACTATCCCTCCAAAAGCGGGACGTCTGGTCACCTTAATCTACAAAGAGTTCCAAGTCTGGATCTTTCAGCAGCTGGTCAAGGATATTGGGCAAAATATGCTAAATATTTGAAATCTTGAAATATACCCAAAATGTTCACCATAACAAAGGCCTGTCCTGAAAGGGAAACTATGTAGCAGCCTGTATACCCTATGGCTAGGTGGAGTGAGTTATAGGAAATACCTGTAATGGAACACCTTGGTGAAAAGGGCATGGAGAGAGATTGAGTCCTAACAAGCATGAGAGAGCTCGAGAGATGAGAGCATTGATGAATTGGCAGTCTCTACACCTGTGGTGTTGAGAGGCACGAGTTCAGCTTTATATTAGGCTGGAGGAGAAGGCAGTCAAAAAGCTTGCACATTCTATCACGGACTCGCTTACTGACTCTGTCTCCTCTCCTGCCTGCAGAACACCAGCACAGCATCTCTCTGCTGAAGATTACCAAGCTCTGCCAAAGACTAAGAGCTATCTGTTCTAAGAAGACTGCTTTAGTGGCACGAGCGCAGCCTTATATTAGGCTGGAGGAGAAGGTGGTCAAAAAGCTTGCACATTCTATCACAGACTCGCTTACTGACTCTGTCTCCTCTCCTGCCTGCAGAATGCCAGCACGGCATCTCTCTATTGAAGATTACCAAGGTCTGCTAAAGACTAAGATCTATCTGTTCTAAGAGGACTACTTTACTCTCTCTAAGATTCATGCTCTCTGTCTTTCTCTCTCTCTCTCTCTCTCTCCAGCTAAAGTAGATATCCCTCAAGCACCTAAGAGAAACTGTTCCTGAGCAAGGTAGCTTAGCGTTCCACATCTGGAACCTACCTAAGCCAGGCCTGAGACCTGGCCAGTCCCAGGCCCTGACAAGTGGTGTCAGAAGCAGATCCTGACAAAACTATTTTAAACTATTTTACTGGCTTTATTGACCTGGAGCAATTTGCCAGCTGCAGCCCCATCTAGACTTTCTGTTTTACATAAATAAGGAGGAAAAGGGTTAAGAAGTACTTTTGAACATCACATCCCAAGACCTCAGGCCCTCCAAAACTCTGAGATTTAATCACAAGATTAATAAAATGCTTCCTGGTTCGGCGCCTATATCTCAACCAGCTAAGGCGCCAGCCATGTACACCTAAGGTGGCGGGTTCGAATCCCCAGCCCAGACCCGCCAAAAACAACAAT